TAAGATAGGGGTTATCTCTGTGGAGAGAGGAGAAGGGTGTAAGGGAAGAACATAAAGGGAGCTTTGACTATAATTGTTAGAATTTATTTCTTAAAAGTAAAAAATATGGAGCCAGGTGTGGTAGCTCACACCTGTCGTCCCAGCTACTATGGAAGTTGAGGCGGGAGGATCATTTGAGTTCAGGAGTTTGAGACTTTAGTGAGTTACAGTTGTACCACTGCACTCCAGCCTCGGTGACAGAGCAAGACCTTGTCTCTAAAAAGATAAAAATAAAAATTATGAAGCCATTTCTATTAAATATAAATAGCCTAAATACTCAAAAGTAGAATAGGCTTAAATAAAATGTGAATCAGTCACATAACAGAATATTATGCTGTTAAACCTGTCTGATCTTGGTTATGTATCTTCTCATTCTAGGGTCTCCATCGTTGTATTTTCATAGTTTCCGGTTCTCTATCAAAATTCTCAATCTTATGTTTTATTTCCTTGAACGAAAATGTCTGATAACGCCAGTGTATGAAGTCTTGCAGCTTAATTTCTGCTTTCTATTATTTTTGCTGGTTCTCATCGATGATACCTTGTTTCCTTGTGTGCCTGGTTATAGTTATTGTTTGCTGGTCTTTGTGTTTACATACCATTTGAGCCTAGGATGATGCTGTCTTCCTCCAGGTATGATTTATGTTCGCTTAGCAGTTCAGGATCACCCCACTCAATCTCAAAGATTGAGACAATTCATGCTAGACGCGGTGGCTCACGCCTGCATTTGGGAGGCCAAGGCAAGAGCATTGCCTGAGCTCAGGGGTTTGAGACCAGACTGGGCAACTTGATGAGATCTTGGCTGCACAACAAATCAAAGAATTGGCTGGGTGTGGTAGCGCATACCTGCATTTCCAGCTACGTGGAAGGCTGAGGCAGAAGCATCACCTGAGCCCAGCAGGTCGAGGCTGCGGTGGCCAGGAGCGGCCACTGCACTCCAGCCTGGGCGACAGGACGAGACTCCCACTCAAAGAGAAAGAAAGAGGGTTTGGAATGCCGTTGCAGTCCCTGTGAGAGCCTGCCTACGTTTGGCTCACCTTCACTCCTAGAGTTAGGTCTTTCTGGGAGACCACCGGGACACTCTCCCCCTCCCTGGTGGCTGGGCCCTGTACGCCAATTCCTGTCGCCACCCGTCAGTACTCTCAGGCAACTACAGAACTGACAGACTCGCCCAGGGAAAGCAGCTCCCAACTACTCTTCTGCATTCTGTCCTGAATCCTAGCCGATAATTCTTCTCCTAACTTTCCTAACTCCTCCCGTATCTTCAAGGAGGATGTTTTTTAAAATCCTGTATGGCTTTTCTGCTTTCTTTAACAGGAATATTTGTTCAGATTACCTAGATCTGGAGCCAGGCATGTTGGCACATGCCTCTGGTCCCAACTACTCAGGAGGCTGAGGCAGGAGGCTCACTTGAACCCAAAAACTCAAGGTTAGCCTGGGCAACATAGCAAGACTTCATCTCTTTTAAAAATATTAGGAAGTAGCAATTCACCCAAGTCCTCTCGAGCAAAACTTACAACTCAACATTCTGGGCACATTCAGCTTTTCTCTGGGCGTCTTAGGTATTCTCAGAGAAGATTCATATTCAAGAAAAACGGATCCAGCCTCATTGGCCCTGAGCAGGGAGGTAAGCTGCTACAGCTTTTAGAGAAGCTAAGTTCAACATTTTCTGATCGCTCTCTGATTCCAGAGGCCTTGCACAAAAGAATTGCCATTTTACTTTAATAAACGCTACTCAAGCATTCTGTAAGATAATATCCCTAATAATTCTGTGGATTAAGTGAAAATGTCTAATGAATTCCACTGAAGTCAATGTTCAATAGAAAGTTGTCTATTAAAAAAAAGTTGAAGCCGGGCTCCGTGGCTCAGCCTGTAATCCCAGTGCTTTGGGAGGCTGAGGTGAGTGGATTGCCTGAGCCCGCGGGTTCGAGACCTGCCTGGGCAACTTGGCGAGACCTCATCTCTACAATAAGTCAAAAATTAACCAGGCATGGTAGCGCCACGCCTGTAGTTCCAACTACTTGGAAGGCTGAGGCGGAAGGATTGCCAGAGCCCAGCAGGTCGAGGCTGCGGTGGCCGGGAGCGGTCACTGCACTCCAGTCTGGGTGACAGAGTGAGACTCCAACTCAAAAAATCAAAAAATCAAAAATAAAAAGTTGGCTATTACAGGTCATAGACACAATTTTACTTTAAATTTCATAATTGGATAAGAAGCATATAATATTAAGTTGAGATCATATGAAGCTTTAGGAGTAGATGAGATTGTCTGGGATAAAAAAGAACCATTGTGAAAAAGAAAGCCAAGGGTGGAGAATGGTTTGGAATTAAAGGTAAAGAGAGAAGCCAGCAATCAACTGTTTCTCTGTTCTAGTTGCTGCTTGTTCAGCTAAAAATTCAGAAATCAAGTCCTGAATCAGGGATCTGCTACTTTTTGAACTTGGTATAATCGAAGAACATGAACTTTAGAGTAAAACCACGCCTGGCTTCTAATTCCAGCCCCAGTCGTTTTGTGACTTTGGTCAGATGACTCCACCTTCTCCAGGTTGTTTCCTCCTGTGTAGTAATAGTGGTTGATCTTACCTCATAGGGCTGTGGTGATTTGATTAAATTAAAGGAGCTAGCATACAGAAAGGCCTTCACAGAACCTGACACAGAGATAGCGAAGACGTGTCCAATTCCCCTCCTTTTTTTCTTCAGCCATAGTACGTAAGACCTGCCTTCCGTTGCTCCAAGTTTCCTCCATCGGACTGCGCATATTACTGTCTTTCTGTTGATGTTTCTCTCTAACTGGTTAGTTTAGCTTATTGTTCCTCGAAAGGCCTTGGCGAGGCCCACACATATTGTGAGTCAGGAGACTGATGTCTCGATGGAAAGCCAGAGCTCCATGTCCTGGTCTCCCAGGACCTGCAGGGGAGGTGAACATGAGAGCCTAACTTGTCTGGAATTCAGCCCTGAGTAGCATTTGGAATTCTTCCTAAAGGAACTGCAAATATTCTGTGCCGTATGTCAAAGTAAACTGTTGTAACTACTGAGTGATGTGCTTGCGTCAGTTTTCTGTAGTTGTTCAAATATGAATTGATTGGCCAAATACAGCAGTGGAGGCCACACCCTTGTGGCCAATGTGACCTGAACACTCAGAGCTGCTGTCGCCCTTCCTGCTTTCAGCTGGCCCTGCTCTGGGTGTCCAGGAGAGGGATTTGGAAAGAATTGAACTTTGTCAAGGCCAGAGAGACCATGGTTAATTAGGAAGGGAAAGGGCCTGCTTCGAGTCTTCCTTGGACGTGAAATTTCGTGACTTGACTTGGGTTGCATCAGAACATCCCCAAGGGGCAGGGGTGCCGGGCCCAGAAGGGCCGGCTGGGGTTGTTGGCGTCTGCGGCCTGCCCGCCGCACCATTGTCCCTCAGCCTTGCTCCCAGAGGGCTGGGCCTGCTGCTGGGAGTCTGACCACTGCGGCTCGAGGCTGGCCAGGCGACCGTGTGGCGCGTACGTAGTTTGGGTGGCCTTCCCCAGCATGCCCGCACACACCCCTTGCTGACTGGGACATCCCCAGGTATTCCAGGCATGAGCAGCCTGCGTTTCAAGGACAAAGAAAACAGAACTGCACACGTGTTTTAAGGAACGCCTCCCCAAATCTGCGTGCTAAGTCTCAGATTTCACTGTTAGTGTCTTCCTCTCCTCCGGGTTTCTGCTGTAATTCACTTGACCCAGACATTGGCAGAAGAGTAAATGATTGTCAGAGACTATCTGACCGTCAGGAAATTTAAACAACAGTTTATTCTAGATTTCTTCTGGAGAAGCCCGTGTGAAGGGGGCAAGCATTGCGCATGTAGTGGCACCTGTGCCAGTCATGCTAGGAGAAAGTCTGCTGCTGATGGCACACAAGCCCGGATCGCTGGTTTTTCTGAAGGGTAGACAGATGTGACTGTTCGGAGTACATTAGTTGGGGAAAGAACACTGGCTTCCACAGCCACCCTGCAGAATCTCAATGGCTCCACACAGCAGAGGGCTCTTTCTGCATCCAGCATCGTGCAGTGCAGATCTCTTTGCAGGCGCCTCCCATGTGGTAGTCCTGAGATCACTTCAGGCTTCAGATTCCCCCCATGGGATTCTCTGCAGTCCAGAGGAGCAATAGAAAGTTGGAGCAGGCCGGGCTCGGTGGCTCAGCCTGTCGTCCTGCGCCTTGGAAGGCCGAGGTGAGTGGATTGCCTGAGCCCGCGGGTTCGCAACCCACCTGGGCAACTGGGCGAGACCTCATCTCTACAGTAAATCAAAAATCAGCCAGGCGTGGTAGCGCGCACCTGTAGTTCCAGCTACTTGGAAGACTGAGGCGGAAGGATCACTGGAGCCCAACGGGTCAAGGCTGCAGTGGCCGGGAGCGGCCACTGTACTCCAGTCTGGGTGACAGAGTGTGACTCCAACTCAAAAAAAAAAAAGAAAGTTGGAGCAAACTGCAAGTGGTTTGAAGCCACACCTGGACGTGACAGGCAACCTCTGCTCCGGTTTTATAAGCCAGAATCCAGTCATGTGGCCCACCCAACTGTAAGGAGGCTGGGGAATATCGTTTTTCCAGATGCTCCGGAAGAAAGCAAAATGGAGCTCAGTGACCACATGGCACTGTTTCTGCCACAATGTGTGCTTTAATAACTCAAATTTAAGGGGTTTATTCAAGAAGGTAATAGAAAAGAGATGGAAAGACGTATTATGTCCAGATGCAGCAACAAAGACAGATAACTGAGATTTGTTGGTAAAGACGTCTGAGGTAGAGGCAAGCCAAGTTAGCTTGTTCCTGCAGCCCTTGCCTTTGCCTGTGTCCACGGTGAGGCCTTGCTGGGCATGAACATGGGTAGGGTGGACTCCGCTCTCAACCACTGGAATCAAAAACCTGGTGGCCACTAACTTAACACTAATGCTCCCTCTGTAACTGTGTGAATAATGTAATTTTCTCTATATTTCTTTTTTCAGGGTTTGAGTAAAAAAGTTGGTGTGTCGTCGTCCATCCTCCAAGGTCTCTGGATCTCCTATAGCACAGAAGGCCTTTCCATGGCGCTGGCATCTTTACGCAATCTCTACACTCCGAATATAAAGGTGAACGCAGAGAGATGGCCAACATAATAATGAATTGACTAAAAAAAAAAATCAGAGGGCTGTTTTGTGGCTAAATGTTCAGGTGGTCTCCGACTTGCCTTAGACTGTCTCTTACTGATTCCCCTTTTATAGATGATGTGTTTCCAGTTGTTCCGTCTAGTCTGTGAATTGAAGACTAGCCCCATTGCCCTCCTGCCTGGTGTGAGCTGACTCTGCCATACGGCTCAGATCCTGGTGCTAGAGAGCGTACCAACCTTCAGTGCCCTTATTGTGTCAGGAGCTTTTCTGGCTGAGAGCTTACCCTGTCAAGGCTGTGTGCAGCACTGCAGCATGGGCAGCATCTGTGCTGGCTGCTGGGCAGCTTACGTGAAGTAGACACTTGACGTTTCTTTCCAAAGGTGAAGTGTTGAAAAGGAACCGTTGAAGATCATAAAATAAAGCAGTTACTAAATGCTACGAGGGACTGTTGCAGGGTCTCCAGTGATTTCACAAAAGATGGCCAGAAGGATATGACGGATGTTTGTCTGATTATCATTTCTGTTTGTTCACTTATTTCTAGGTCAGCCGACTGCTGATCTTGGGAGGTGCCAACATCAATTACCGGACAGAGGTCTTAAACAATGCTCCAATTCTCTGTGTTCAGTCTCATCTGGGCTACACAGAAATGGTGGCCCTGCTGTTAGAGTTTGGGGCCAACGTGGATGCCTCTTCTGAAAGCGGCCTCACACCCCTGGGATACGCCGCCGCAGCAGGATGCCTGGGCATTGTGGTACTGCTGTGCAAGAGACGGGCCAAGGTAGGGCTGCCGGCTCTGCTGCCTTTGCTTCCTGCCCCTCTTCCTGCCTCTCGGCGCACAGTCGTTCTTATCCCCGTGTCACTGCTCAAGTTCAGGTAGAGCCCATCCCCCAGTGGGAGCAGCACAGAGAGGGCTGGCTCTGCACACACCCCCGTGCCCTACAATCCAGGCTGCAGCAGGCACAGTTCTAACACAGCTCTACCTCAGCGGGACACTCAGGAAACTGCATCCATCTGTAACCACAGAAAACCCTTCCTGACAACCCAGAAACTGCTGAGCGCAGAAAAAGCCCCTTTCTGACAAGTAGAGAAAGGAGCGAGGGACAGCAGTGGTGGGTCTGCAGACTCCAGGTGTGCAGAGAAGAAAAACTAGCCATGGAGCTGGGAGCGAGGCAGACCCCGTGTCCTGTCCCTGAAGGCCGCCACCCTAGAGTTGGGGGAGAGACAGTTCTGCTTAGACGCAAACTGCCAACGGCACCTGAACATGTTTCTGTAGTACCTCTCAGGCCTCCAGAAACACTTCCAAATGTGTTTGTTTTATGGTGTTTCAAGAGCCATTGGCATGAAGGAACTCAGTTTCACAATACTGGTGAAAAGAAAAATGCCGGTTCACAAATGGGACTACTGGGGAACACGGTGGCCTTATGGTATTCTGTTTCAGTCTTGAAAACAAACTGATGATGGTGGTGGCTTCTCAGTGAATATAAATAACATGGGTGATCTCATTCTGACGTGTCCAGAGCTCTTTCCAGGGAATAAAGTAGGACCTGTGCTCCTCCCTGAGGAGCAGAGACCTGAGACTCTCAGTGAAATCCCAGAGCCTTAGGCATTTACTATGACAAAGTGGTAACCGCAGCATCCCAGTAACTGGAATGGACACTTCTAGAAACAGGATGATAAAGAACCTGCTGTCAGGCCAGATTCCATGTCACCTGGGTTCTTCCCACTACTCAACCCTTATACCGTCAGACCATCATCGTCTCCCTATTTCCCAAGAGCATATGTGTGAATCATGTATGCGCTTCTCAAGACCCTGCTACATTCTGCTCCTGCAGGATGCTGAGCCTGAGTCCCTCTCGCCGTGCCCCTATCCCAGCTCCCAGACTCACCCACACTCACTCCCACAGGATGCTGAGCCTGAGTCCCTTTCATGGTACCTCTGTCCCGGCTCTGGGTCTCACCCACACTTCCCTTTGCTGTTGCCACCTCAGAGAAGGGTGTATCCTCTTCCACCTGTACACCTCATTCCCCTGTGTTGCTCCCTCTCACATGTCATTAAATTCACACTACCTTTTTTCTCAGTTTCTGCAGACCTACAGGTGTCTGCCCTAACCTGAAAAAGAAACCTCCGTCTCTGACCCCAAGCTGCATCCCGTCTCCCTTCTGTGCCCACCAGCCTGTCCTAAGCAACCTTGCCCCCGGTTTCCATCCTGCCCATTAACCCCCTGCAGTGTGGCGCCCATGAGTGAGGAGGGAGGCAAGTCTTTAAACTCACGGGCTTTAGAGTCAGACACAACTGAGTCAAGGCCTGTGTCCGCACGTAGCTTGCCTGAGAGCTGGAAAAAGTCACCTAACCCCTCTCAATCTCACTTTTTTCATCTATGAGAAGAATTAATAGAGTCATCGTGAGAATTAAAACAGATGGGGCCTTTTCTAAAAGGCCTTATGAAGTGTCTTTCAGTCTCACCCATGCCTAATGCACAGTTCCCTAACAAGAGACAGTGCCCACCTTCACTGCACGCTGCCGAGCTGCTCCCAGAAGTCCCTGATGACCCCTGGTTGCCGAGCAGAGCCGTGTGTTCTCAGCCCTCCCACTTGGGCCTCTCCGTGGGACGCAGCAGTGAGCGCTTCACATCCTGGTTCCCCACCGACTTCTGGGCGCTCCACTCCCCCCTCCTGATGCAACTGTCAACATCCCTCAGAGTCTTTCCTCAGGTCTCCCTGTCCTCACCCTCTCCCATGGCTTCCGCACCAAAATCGCAGCCTGGGAGTCACGCCCACCTGGGCTCTGGCCCCCTGCCGCTGTTCGGATGACTCTTTATGCTGGAGAGCTAATTCCTGAGCATTTCTGGACTCTAGTGCCACATCCCTAGCTGCCTCCTGGACCACCACACCCAGACCACCTCACCGGTTCCTTAGACTAACTTTTGAGGCCGCTCATCCCTGCCCCCCTTCTGGCTTCTTAGCATCTGCTGGTGTCGCTTCCATGTCTCAGACCGGAAGACCTTTGACGCCTTCCTCCGCTGCCCTCCGGGATGTCCCCGCAGCGGCTCTTCGCTTTCTCCTCGGAGCAGCCGGGCAGCTGCCCATTCGCCTCGCGTCACCACCCCAGAGTCATCCCGGGCGTCCTCGAGCGGCAGCCCCCTTCGGATTCCCCTTTCGTCTGTTGAACACCATCCCCTGAGCTTCTAGGATCCTTTGTTTTTCAAACAATGGTGGGCTTTCAGAAACAGTTGCAAGAATAGCACAGAGGCCCATTAGAAAGAAATGGCCAGTGTCTGAAGTGACAGATATGCTGATCGCCCTGATGTGATCATTACACATGGTGTACCTGTAGTGAAACACCATGTCATTGACTCCACAAATAGCTTCCGTTTTTTGGGTTTTTTGGGGTTGTTTTTTTTGAGTTGGAGTCTCACTCTGTCACCCAGACTGGAGTGCAGTGGCCGCTCCTGGCCACCGCAGCCTCGACCTGCTGGGCTCCGGTGATCCTTCCGCCTCAGCCTTCCAAGTAGCTGGAAGTACAGGTGCGCACTACCACGCCCGGCTCATTTTTTTTTTGATTTATTGTAGAGATGAGGTCTCGCCAAGTTGCCCAGGCGGGTCTCGAACCCGCGGGCTCAGGCAATCCACTCACCTCAGCCTCCCAAAGGCGCGGGATTACAGGCTAAGCCACCGAGCCCGGCTAGCTTCCATTTTTATGTGTCAATTAAAAATAATTCAGGCGAGCAAGTTGAAACGGGTCTCTTGAAGGCAAAACAGAAAAGATAGTGCAGAGAGTTCCCACATGCCCTCCATCCAGCTTCCCTGATGTTAGCAGCGTGAGGAATCCTAGTCCAGTTAGCACAGCCAGGATATGACTGTCGGCGTAACACCGTCAGTGACTCTAGAAACCTTGCTGACGTCTGTCTGATTGTCCCATTACGGGAACCCGTTCAAGACCCTTCATTGCACTTGGTGTTGTCTCCTTGTCTCCTCTAATCCAGGAGAGTTTCCAAATCGTTGTCTTTCATGAGCTTGGCACTTTTGGCCAGATGTTTTGTAGAATGGTTTTCAAGTTTAGTTTGTCTAGTGTTTTCTTGTGATTAGATTCATATACTTCTGGCAAAAATACCATGGGAGCAATGATGTACCCTCATTAAAATAGTGCGCTGACGGTAGGTGACATTGGTGTGCCGTATTTCTAGTTCTGTTAACTTCAGCCACTTGGTTAAGGTTGTGTTTTCCAGGTTTCTCAACTCTGAAGTTACTGTTTTTCCCTTTGTAATTAAGAAATGTCTTTCAGGGTTATGCTTTGACACTAGGAAGATAGATAGTCCTGTTTCTCATTATACTTGTATCCAATAATATTAGGATCCATCGATAATTCTTGGTGCAGTAATTATTGCTTTGGTGTTTGCCTAGCAGTCATTTTCTATTTCTATCATGTCTTCAACATTTATTAATCAGAATTTTATTATGTGGCAGAGCTGTCCCTTCATCCCCCCCATGTATTTATTTATTGAATTATTTATTTCTATATCACTGTGGAGTTATTAATATTTTATTCTATGGCCTGTAATCCATTACCATTATCATTCATTTTGTTGCTCAAATTGCCCCAAAGTTGGCCATTGATAACTCCTTCAAGTTGGTTCCTATATCCTTTTAACTTCCTCCTATTCGTTTCATTTTGTTTAATTAAAAAAAAAAGTTGTGCGGATTGGGTCTCACTGTGTTGCCCTGGCTGGTCTTGAACTCTTGACTTCAAGCAGCCCTCTCACTTCAGCTTCCCACACACTACCATGCCCAACTAATTTTTTAATTGTTTTATAGAAATGGGGTCTCACTATGTTGTCCAGGCTGGTCCCAAACTCCTGACCTCAAGCAATCTTCCTGTCTCAGCCTCCCAAAGCACTGGGATTACAGTCATAGTGACCAACTTCCTGTTTTCCTTTAAATCTTTTCCTGACTTTCTGACACCACAAGATGTATTAGACTCACCTTTTACTATACCAAGGCCTCAGCCCAGGATCAACCATTTCTCCAAGGAGCCATTGTTTATTTTATCCTTCCCCTTCGTGTTTGAAAATACAGTTCTGGGCCAGGCGCAGTGGCTCATGCCTATAATCCCAGCACTTTGGGAGGCTGAGACGAGAGGATTACCTGAGCCCATGGGTTCAAGACCAGCCTGGGCAACTAACTGAGACCTTATCTCTGCAATAAATCAAAAAATGAGTTGAGCATGGTGGCATGTGCCTGTAGTTCCAGCTACTTGGAAGGCTGAGGCAAGAAGGATCACCTGAGCCCAGCAGATAGAGACTGTGGTAGCCGCCACTGCACTCCAACCTGGGCAACAGAGTGAGACTCCGACTCAAAAACAGAAAGAAAATGCAGCTCTGAACATGAAAACACTCTGACTCCACTACCTACTGATTAAAATTCAGACCACTTAGCCTGGCATTCAAAAATATCCACGCTCTAGTCCCCAAAGACCCTCTCAACCTTGCAATTTAAACTTTCCTTTGAGGTGTCTGACTCTCAAAAACTGGAATTAGTTAACAATTTCCTGTCACCGCCAGTTGAGATTGACCTTTTCCTCTGAATCAGTTCCCAGTTCTAGCCAGGAACTAGTTTTTTCTTCCTCCGCAGCATTACCGCACTTGTACTTTCCCTAGGACACTGACTATAGACTTCTGTGCAACCTAGGCTTTTGTCACGTTGCTCACCTCTCCCCTTCACATTTAAAAGTCATCGAGAGCAGAACTTACATCTTACTGTCCTGTTCACCTTTTATTCTAATGGCACTTGACACGTGCTAGGTTTTCAGTAGACGTTCGTGATGTGGATGGCTGGGCGGAAGTCAAGTCAGTGGGAGAGCGAGGAACAAGCTTATGCCGAGTGCTGTAACTGCCACAGCATGGATGACCACCTGCCGGCCAGAAAAGGCCCTTCTGGTCAATTCATCTTAATCAGGCACTTATTTCAGCCTGAACTTGAAACCAACACTGAAATTATAAAAACTGCTATTGGTGCTTAGTCTGGCATTAAGCTCCAAGTGCCTTTAGCATTTTGGCCAGATCTTTGAGATTCTGCACTCCCGCTGGGAGAAACGGCCTTTGCCAAAGCTTGGCGGTCAAATGAGTGATTCATGAGATATTTTGCTTCTTTCTAAGACCAAAAATTATAACTTCAAAATGTTTTTCTTCCCGTTCATGATTTCAGAGACAGTTTTTTGTGCCAGCAGGGCTGTAAGTCTCTCAAATCTGGGTCTAAAAGGAACTATTTGAGGACAAAGGAGAATGTACCTCAGGACAACAAAGACCAAGCCGGGGGTTTTGGTTTTTATTTTTCCTCTAATGTGAAAACAAAGCCTGACCTTTTCTAGGACAAAAAAAATCTCCCAGGGGGTCATTTAGCAGCATGGTAGCACAGTGATGGCCTAGTGTGAAGAGTATCTTCTTGGCATATGGCGCTTGATCCACAGAGCAGAAAGGATGAGTCTCGGTTGTCTGGGCACATGTTATGGGCTGCTGAGGCTGGGAGTACAGCCCGAGTTTCTGCTCACAGGTGTCCCTGTCCTCTGCCCTCAGGTGGACCACTTGGATAAGAATGGACAGTGTGCTCTGGTCCATGCTGCCCTCCGAGGACACCTGGAGGTTGTCAAATTTCTGATTCAGTGCGACTGGACGATGGCTGGTCAGCAGCAAGGGGTGTTCAGGAAGAGCCACGCCATCCAGCAGGCCCTCATTGCCGCAGCCAGCATGGGCTACACCGAGGTAAGGAGGCAGACGGTGCCACTTCTCCGGTCTGAGTGTTGAGGGACCAGGAAGCCAGGAGAGAGGGGTTGCACGAAGACAAATGGTCCACCAAATTGGTAGGAATTTGTAATCACTGCTCTGAATAATAAGGAGGTTGAACTCCATGAGGCACCTGACCACTTGCATGCCAAGGTCCCCAGAGTTATGGGCATGGGACTGTGGAAGTTGCCTAATTCTCCCCCATGTTTCCACCTCCCTTTGCCAATCAGTGGCACTAAGACCAGAAAGTTTAATTACCGCTCTGCAGTTACATGGTTGGACAAAGAGGCTGGGACAAGCACACCACCATTTAGGACCTCAGGAGGACCCGGTGGAGTCCCAGCTCTGCCACATCCTAACTCTGACCTCGAACAATTGCCTGTTCTCCTAGAGCTGTGGCTTCCCATCAGGAAAGGGGAACCCGGAAACCCTCTTATCGTAGGTTGTCATGAGGGAGGCTTGGGAATTGTAACACTCTACTGTTTGCTTATTTATTGCTATGTTTATTAATGTTAGTCGTCATAGTAGTTGCAAATACACGGACTTGGTAGTATGCTGGGAAACGTTTGTCAATAGCCCTGGAGTGGAACAGGGATGTGTATGTCTGGGTACATGTGTACCTAAGTTTATTGTAACCTTTACTGATACCAAGAATGTGTGGCACACAGTTTACAACTGAAATAACTGAAACAGGCAGTATTCTCAGTGGAATGTTATTGTTGATTCTTGGCAGATCTGTACGCGTAGCTAACCTATGATCACAGCTTCTCACGATAATTTGACCAATGGAGTTGCATCCCAGTTTGCTGACTTCCCAATAAACTATTTCTCATCCTGATGCAAAGTATACTCATTAGACTGAAACCTCTTTCAGCACTAGCACTAAATCAAGCCCCCTTTATAACATTTCCCTCTCCCCAGGTGCGTGGCATCCCTGGACAGTCAGGTGGGGAGGAGAGCTGTGCAGTAGCGCACCGTGACTCACATCCTCCAGGCAGACAGGAAATGTCAAGACCGCCACAGCTAGACAATAGCAAGATGTCGATAAATAGTAGGAGGTTAGGAGACTTGAGCATTCTTTAGTCTTTGTTTTTAATATAATTTATTTAGTTAATTGGTTTTAGCAAACAGCTGGCTTGCAAAATTCCTGAAAATAGCAATCAGCTTTCATGGTCTTCTACAAGCCTGCCCCGTCCCATGCATGGGAGCACAGCACGCAGCCACACTGCCTGCTGGCCTGCATGTCACCCAGGTAACATTAAGTAACGTCAAAATTTTTATTATCTATGGGAGGTTTTCTGACTCTCACGCAGTCAAATTCCTGGCAGTAGAGCTGTCACTTTTCTTTGTTGTTAGGGGTTTTTCTCCCTTGACTAGTTCCAGAACAGTCCTTAGGCTCCTGAGAGGAAAAAAGAAAATACTCATTTTATGCAGAAGAAATACAGGCCCTCAGTTTCTCATATTTATTTTCTGGTCTTTTTATTGAAAGAATAGGATTGCTTCTTTAACTTAAATATGAGCAAAATGTAATTGTTTAAAATCACATGCTGTTGAGTGAGCTGTGTTCTGGAGAAGCATGCGACCTGTGTCTGCCAGGACAGATGCTCGCTGTGGCAGCTTTGAGTCTCTTCACTAGGACAGTCAGCTCTGATTCCTGTTGCGTGCAAGAGGTTTGGTGATACTTGGATCACCCAAGCATCTTCCAGACCTCACAGGCCAGTGTCAGTATAACAGTTTTCCACCTAAAGTTTGAGCTGACACAGCTTCTTGTTTCAGATTGTCTCCTACCTGCTTGATCTTCCAGAAAAAGATGAAGAGGAAGTGGAGCGAGCACAGATCAACAGCTTCGACAGCCTCTGGGGAGAGACAGGTACCTCTTGGGCACGACTCTCTTCCCTCGTGAGCGTGTTGCTGGTGTGGACTCTGGCCCATGCCCACGTTTTCCCTGGCGCGCATCTTGCCATCTTCTGCCACACAGCGTTTGTGTTGGAGACTGACTCAGCTACAGGAACGCGTCAGGCAGTTTTCCTGTTCGAGCCTCTTTCCCTTTAGAGCCTCTAGACTATTAGCCCCAGAGACTTCTTTCAACAAAATATTTCCCCTCTTGTGGCCAAATATTTTTAAAAGACTGAAAGTTACCTTACAATATGCCAGATCCAAGCAGAAGATAACTGTGGTCTTTCTCTTTGTTCATATGGACCTTATGGTAGCTAAGTATACATCTTTCTCCCCCGCCTGCACTTGTGAACCAGGATGTTCCATTTTCATCCTCACCTCTGGCTCCACCAAGTGCTGTGTGGCAGAGTGGTATCTGACACAATGAGCCTGACACACTGTGAGTTACTCTGCTGTCCTGGTGTGCAGGAAGGCAGCATTTCAGTACTTGCTGCACAAGCAGAAGCCTCTTCCTTGTGGCCTTCGCAGGAAAGAGTGTTGTCTTCCCTCCAAGTCTCAACGGGAGCATCTGAAGGCGCATTCGTAGCCTTTGATGTGCTTTTATGAGTCCAGGGCAATGAAAACCGTAGCGTAACCACAGATCCATGTCCTGTTTTCCAGGAGAGGCAGACCAGTATTGACACGGCCAATTTAGGGAGGACATTGTACTAAACAAGAAGGGTGTGCATTTTGGTTGAGGTAGGAATGTTATTAAAGTATGAGAAGACTTGCTGGGCTCAGTGGCTCAGCCTGTAATCCCAGCTCTTTGGGAGACTGAGGCAAGTGGATTCTCGGACCCCGTAGGTTCGAGACTAGCCCAGACTAGCCAAGTCTGGCAACTTGGCCAGATATCATCTCTACAATAAATCAAAAATTAGCCAGGCGTGGTAGGTCACACCTGTAGTTACAGCTACTTGGAAGCCTTTGGCAGAAGGATCGCCAGAGCCCAGCGGGTCGATGCTGGGGTGGCCACGAGTGTGCCACTTGCACTCCATCCTGGGCGATGGAGTGAGACTCCAACTCAAAAAAATATATATATGAGAAGACTCTTAAAGTCATTTAAAATGTATGAACTCCTATTGAATTGGCTCCTTCTCACGACAGAATCTTGTGTCGGTTTCATGACTGCGTGGCAGCATGTGGAATGGTCCAAAGTTCAGGAATTTGCTTCTCAAACAGCCCCTCCCACTGGGAGAGCCAAAGAGGGCAGATACCAGGCAGCTGCCTCCTGAGCATCCTGGACAGACTGGAGGGAAGTGTGCAGCTGGGACCAGCCAGATGAGAGGCTGAGGGGAAGGGGCTGGCCAGGACACCAGCAACTCTGGGATGTACATATGCGACCCAGAGCTGCAGAAGTGCGTGTTGGTGTCAGCCACCAGCACAACCTTCCCCAGCATGGGGTCATCAGTTCTTCCAACAGAAGCCTCGTTGCCAAGGCCATGGGCATGTAACCACCAGTGCAGCAAAGAGAGCCATGGCCCCAGGTGACAGGAGCTAGAAATTGCAAGGCGAGTGGTCGTAGTGGTGACAGCCAGACACAGTCTAGTGCTGAGCTTTGAAAACGCCTTAAAAATGCTCAGGAAGGCTCTGATCTAAGGAGGGCTTCTTGTTGACACGAATTTCACAGACATAGAATAAAGTTTGCAGCCTCAGAATTTTTTAAGTATTTCATGTTTTACAACGGGCAGTCGATTTTTTACGTTAATTTTCATATGTGTATGTCAAGATTTTTAAAATCTTCATGTCAAATTGCCTAAAATCAGAACCGTGTCATATTAACTTGATTTATATATATATATATGTGCAATATACATATGCAGTAATTACATTATTATAAACATTAAAATGCTATTAAATATGAGCTAGAATGAAATGCATTTGTAATACTAGATCTGTGAAAAGTCATTTGATTTCAGAAAAATTTCTGGAAAACATTGTTGTCTTTGCTATGTGAAAATGACCCTACAACTTACCATTAGCACAGAATGGACTTTGCTTCACTTTTCTACCTACAGTGTTGTTTATTAAGCATACACATTCCTTTCTAACATGTAGCACTTGCTCGTCTAAAATTTACAATGACCCACTGAATTGTGATGTTTTCTCTCATCGCAAAAGCTTATATATGTCTTTGCATGTAAGCTGAGCACAGTGGCTCATCCCAGTATTCCCAGAGCTAAGACAGGAGGATCACTTGAGGCCAGGAGTTCAAGACCAGCCTGGGCTACGTAGCCTTCATTGCTCACCAAGACAGCAACTTGACTCACAGTGTATATGTTTAATTGTATCAGATACCACTCTGCGACACAGCACTTGGTGAGGATGAGAAAGGAACATCCTGGTTCACAAATGCAGGTAGGGGAGAAATATGTATTCCTAACCACTGTGTAAGGACCACATAAAAAAGAGAAAGACCACAATTATTTTCTGCTTGGATTGACACATTGTCAGGTAACTTTTAGTCTTTTAAAAATATTTGGACACAAGAGGGAAAAGGTTTTGTTTAAAAGAAGGCTCTGGTGCTAATAGTCCGGAGAATCCAAAAGGAAAATAACTCAACTCTGTACTTTTCGCTACCAAAAAAAAATTTTAATATATTTTTTGCATATAAAACCAGTCTGTGACTAGTTGATGGGGCGTCTCATATCTACACCTAAGTGACAATCTTTACCTAAGGGAAACATGATACTCAGTCTGTATGACTTACTCTGTCAAATCTGGGATACTGTTAACAGTAAGAAACTGTATGTCAGTTATTTTTGTGCCATTACAAAAACAAAAACTTTCTGCCAATTAAGCCTATACAATTCTTTATTATCATATCAAATGTAGTATGCATCCCAATTTAAGAGCTGTTAAAATGTGGGGAGAAAAGTGAATCTTAGAATCAGTGAAATACATCTCAGCATATAATGAAATATTAATTGAGATGTAGTTTTACAGATATTACAGCTTTGCTAAAAGCAGATCACCAGGATATCCTGGTTGCTTTTATCCTTCTTTTCCAGCCTCTTCAGCCCTCCACACACCACCTCCTCACATTCAGTTCTCCCCATCTAGCCAACCCTCCCTTCCTGCAGGGTTTTCTTAGGGAAAAACACAGAAGAAGAGCAAATCAGGTGACAGGTTGCTCACCACTCCCTCCTTTCCCTCATGTGATGGGCACACACCAAGACCCTAGAGGCCAGCCTGGAAACCCATGGCCCACAAGAAGCCGCTTAGGGCTCACCTAGCCAGGGAGACGCCCTTCCTCCTGCCCGTGTCATCTTTTGCCTAGATTATTGCAGCTCCCTTCTGATAATTCTCACCCTTTGTGACTCAGCCCCCAGACTTCTGCCACAGTGATCTTTTTAAGCCATAGTCTTGCTCATGTCACTTTCCTGCTTGCTGGCCTTCGCTTACTACTTGTAGGATTAAGTCGTTAATGTAGCATTAAACCAGCCAGCATCTCCAGCCTCGTGTATGGCCTGTCTTCCCCAGGAATTCCAGTGACAGTGAGCATATTGCTACTGTCTGGTGCCCTCTGCACACTCCCCCCACCGCCACCGTCAGTCTCCTGTTCCCCTCTCACCATCTGGCTCACGGCACCTCTCTTCCTGGAGGCCTCCTTTGACACTTGCCTCTACTTCTGTACCACCTCCATACCAAGAGTATCTCTGTCGTGTTGCACATTGTGTATTCATGTATTTGTCTTTTTTCCTTACTCAACCATGAGTTCCTTGAGAACTCACATGTCTGACAAATAGTTCAACAAATGTTTAATGTTGTTCTGGATAGTAGTGATCAGTTTATGTCTCCCCTGCAACCCTCCACGCCCCCACCCCCTCAATCTTACATGACCTGTCTGCTGAGCTCTTTCAAGGATGAAACAGATGAAAGAGTCATTTGCTTCTCTGAGTTCTCTTTAGTGTCAGCATCCCATCCAGGCAGACTGACTGTTTTCCCAACACTCAGCTACATCCTGTCTGCCTCTTCAAACTCTTCAAACTGTTTTCCTTTTGAAAACAGACCATTTGTGTCAGATAATCTCATCAGATGCTCAGGGAGCAAATTCTGTTACAGGTCTCTTAGGAAGAGATTTGATTCCTAACTGCTTTGTTTGCAGGTTTGTGTTTTACAGAACTGGCTTTACCTTAATCGCCTTTCTTTTTAAAAAGTTTTACACAGTTTTTGGTAAGGCTCACACAAAATCCAGCCAAAGTAACTTGTTGCTCTAGGATTTTGAAAAGTACAGGTTTCAGCCGGGCTCGGTGGCTCAGCCTGTAATCCCGCGCTTTGGGAGGCTGAGGTGAGTGGATTGCCTGAGCCCACGGGTTCGAGACCCACCTGGGCAACTTGGCGAGACCTCATCTCTACAATAAAATCAAACTAGCCGGTCGTGGTAGCGCGCATCTGTAGTTCCAGCTACTGGAAAGGCTGAGGCGGAAGGATCACCGGAGCCCAGCGGGTCGAGGCCGTGGTGGCTGGGAGCGGCCACTGCACTCTAGTCTGGGCGACAGAGTGAGACTCCAACTCAAAAAAAAAGAAAAGTTCATATTCCATTTTACATAGTTGAATTGTTCTGAGATGCAATTGGCAGCTGTGTTAATAACCATGTCCAGCTGAAGGTTGCTGCCAAATGACATCATAACCTAAACAACAGAGACAATACAACCAGGAAAAGGGCCAAGTGGAAAGTTCTCCCCGTGGGAGAAACAGGCCTGCCAGAGCAGTGCAGCAATCCACGTGGGCACTGGCTGCGGACACTCCAGTGTGTTCTGTGAACTGGCATCGCTAAGGTGAGGCTTAATACTGAAATACTGGTCCATATTTTCTCCAGGGTGCTATAAATCCTTCTGTGAAAAAGAATATATTTGTCATCCACATATAGGGGAGTTTGCAGCAACATTGTCACCTAGTAGCGACTTTGAATAGCATCATAACATGAGTTAGAAATTTTCCAAATGGTTTGTTTTATGCACCAACAAGATGATTCTTGTGGCTCCTAGTAAGTGTCTGTCCTAGTCAAACTCTTTGTTGTTGTTGTTGTTGTTGTTGTTTTAGTTGGAGTCTCACTCCGTCGCCCAGGCTGGAGTGCAGTGGCTAACCCAGCATCGGCCTGCTGGGCTCCAGCGATCCTTGCACCTCAGCCTTCCAAGTAGCCAGAACTACAGGCATGCGCTACCACACCTGGCTAATTTTTTATTTATTGTAGAGACAAGGTCTTGCCAAGTTGCCCAGGCTGGTCTCGAACCCTCGCGCTTAGGCAGTCCACTTCTCCCCGGCCTCCCAAAGTGCTGGGACTACAGGCTGAGCCACCGAGCCCAGCCTATCCCAGTAAAATTCTTAAACTACTCTTGTGTTCTGGGTCAGAATTGATTTTTTTTCTTTCCCGAACTATTAGAAATATGAACTTGAAAAAGAGGGAAGATCACTTACATTTACAGAACAAAGCACAAAACTTCTTTGTTGAGTAAAATGATTATGGCCATTAATATCCAAGTCATCATTCAGGGCTTGGGAATGGCCTTCGCCTCAGATAGGACCAAGGCACTGCCCTCCTGTGAGGAGCTGAGCAGAAATGCCAGTGGCAATAGTTCCAGAATGAAAATGAAAATATACAAGCCATAGATAGATCTGGTTTCAGAGTACATATATCTTCTAAAAAAGTCACATTTTCCTTCACAAGCCATTCTTATCCTTGTGGAAGGAAAGGATTACTTGAAGATTTCTCTTTGTGGAAATCACAGGTAATTTTGATTTTGTATATGACTCAGTCATGGATAAATTCGGGCAAGCCCAAAGACAAATATGCCATAATTTGCATTTCAAGGGAAAAGAATGCAAGTGGCCATTTGATCTACATTGTCATTGCTTCTCAGATTAGATTTTAACATTTAGATGTAAACTGCAGGATTTACACGGCCACATCTCATCATTTCCTGACTTGTTACTGGAATAGCTGGCCATGATAGAGGAAGGGCTCTAACTCCCATGTCCATTTCCACGTCAACTTGGAAAAAATTATTTATCTTCTTTCTTTCAAATAAAGCATAACTGACCAGGCACAGTGGCTCATGCCTGTAATCCCAGCACTTTGGGAGGCGGAGGTGAGAGGATTACCTGAACCCAGGGCTTTGAGACCAGGCTGGGCAACTTGGCAAGACCTCATCCTACAGTAAATCAAAAAAATTAGCCAAGCGTGGTGGCTGCGCCTGTAGTTCCAGCTACTTGGAAGGCGAGGTGGAAGATCACCTGAGCTCAACAGGACAAGGCTGTGGTGGCCTTGATGGTGCCACTGCACTCCAGCTTGGATGACAGAGGGAGACTCCAACTCAAAAAAAAAATTAAGCATAACAGCTATCATGTTTTAACAATGTTTTTCATCCTGCTTACCCCCCCCCTTCATTCCTTAAGACAATGAACTTGTGTATCTCAGATCCCCTGGTTAAATGAAACAAGCACATACTTGTTCAAAGATGGACTTCATATCTTCATATCTTCAAATTCTTCTTTCTACTGTTGAAGTGGTACTTTTAAGATGAAATAAGCATCCATAGATACCCTACTGTATCAAAGGTCATGAACAGTGAACAGCAGCACAGCAGGAAGAAGGGTTAAGTTCCCGCCTACTGTGTCCTTCACACACACTACAGCTGGGTTTTTTTGGCTTTGTTTTTTATTTTTTTGAGTTGGAATCTCACTCTGTCACCCAGGTTGAAGTACAGTGGCATACTTACGGCCACCACAACCTCGATCTGCTGGGCTCAGGTGATCCTTCTGCCTCAGCCTTCCAAGTAGCTGTGACTACAGGCATGCGCCACCACGCCCAGCTAATTTTTTTATTTATTGTAGAGTTGAGGTCTCACCAAGTTGCCCGGGTTGATCTTGACTACATTATTTTATGTTGAAAAGAAAATAGCCTTTGTCACACCCTTTTTCCTCATCTTCAAGATTGTTACCCTGAACAATTCTGATTCTCATGTAAGAAATGGTTGCACATGTACCAGAAACGTCTGTCTCAACTAATGAAGACAAAGAATTAAAAGTGGCCCAAGCCCTTTGACTGCAGTTCCTACCTGTGGTTCCCTAGATTTGAGAGCTCAGGAGTAGAAGTTGTCAGGAGTTGGTTCCCAGCCAATTCCAAAAAAAGACCATATCTCTGCAAAGTCTCTTTCCTCTAGATTCCTCCCACACACAAATGAGTAAAGGTTTGCAGCTAGGAAGAGGCATCAAAAGAGAGGGGGCCAAGGCAGAAAAGAGAGTCTGCTTTGGGGAAATGAAACCAAGTGAGTTTGATCAAAGGTGATTTTTTAGTAGATTTATTACTTTAACTGTCCCCAGATATTATGAGCCAATTTGAATGTGTTTTTATTATTTTCTTTAAAAATGGCCTTTATGGAAAGCGACTAAGGTGGTTATTCTTGGAGGTGAAGTAACAGTGATGCGAGTCCAACCCAAGTGTACTGCCACGCTGAACATCGAGGCCTGGAGGGGCTGGAATCACCACAGCCTTTGTTCTCTGCCCTCAGCCCTGACAGCTGCGGCCGGAAGAGGCAAACTGGAGGTGTGCCGTCTGCTGTTGGAACAAGGGGCAGCAGTGGCTCAGCCAAACCGCCGAGGGGCCGTGCCGCTGCTCAGCACTGTCCGTCAGGGCCACTGGCAGGTAAGCAGGGCAGCCACTTCGGGCCCTCTAGCAGGAATGATTCCAGGGCCTTCTGATGCTGAGAACAAAACGGTCGCAAGCACCATGCGGGTTGCGGCGAGGCTAGGGGACCTGGGCGTTTGCTATTCAGATCCCCTTTCACTGAAAAGATGACCAAAAACTACCCTCAGGGTCACACTGTGCTGTGGACTGGCCTCCTTCTCACGCTTCACGGCATCCACAGGTTCCCAGAGAGGCTCCTTTATCAGTGGGCCCCTGCTGGCCCCTGACTCGCAGATGTCTCCGGCTTGCCGCCAGAAAAGGCAGTGTATGCAAATTCTAGGCATGCAGTCTTTCTAGCTGTTTGGCTTCTGGATAAATGCTAATTTGTACACCTAGGGTGGAGAAGAAAGCATACTGATAATAATCTTCAGAAACACTTGGCTAGAAAAAAGACTGTAGACCCCAGACAGCGCTGAAGAGAAGTGCTAAGAGGCAGCACTGGATGGTGGTCAGTGGTCAGTCTTAACTGCAGACCGCTTTGCAGCCACTAGAGGGCAGTAAAAAGGCGCTGATGTGGGCAGAGATGTGGGCGCTTCCACCACGGGACTGTCTCCTCTCAGTTATCCTTTACCTGGTGGCGGGGGGGGGGCCTTTTCATCTGGCGGTCCCTGAGAGAATCGCATGCTACTCACCAGGGTCCTTGTGGCGGAAAGCTTCACGTGAGGAGCCCACCTGGACCACAGGAGCTCAGGTCTTGTGAGGGGTAGTGTTCACGTGTCTCCTCCGCAGTCATGGGGCTGATCGGGCCTGTTTCTGTGTGTTGCAGATCGTTGATCTCTTACTCACCCACGGAGCTGATGTCAACATGGCAGACAAGCAGGGCCGCACTCCCCTGATGATGGCTGCTTCCGAAGGCCATCTGGGCACTGTGGACTTTCTGCTTGCCCAAGGTCAGTCTTGGATGCTGGCGCTGGCTGGCCAGTGCCCATGGTGACTAGGTGAACTCGAGATTTCCAGTGGTGTCCAGGAGACACTAAGAACAGATATTATTAATCCAGTTGATTAGAAAGGAAAGACTGTCTCCTCTTACATGCAGCGGAACCCTTCTAACTCTGACATTCTCCATTTCCTTATAACTTGGGGGATTTTAATCAAATTAACATATTCTTTTTGTTTGTTTTTGTTTTCGTTTTTGTTTTTTTGAGTTGGAGTCTCACTCTGTCACCCAGACCGGAGTGCAGTGGCACGCTCCCAGCCACCGCAGCCTCAACCTGCTGGGCTCCAACGATCCTTCCACCCCGGCCTTCCAAGTGGCTGGAACTACAGGCGCACGCTACCACACCCGGCTCGTTTTGATTGATTGTAGAGCTGAGGTCTCGCCAAGTTGCCCAGGCTTAGGCAGTCCACTCACCTCAGCCTCCCAAAGCGCAGGATGACAGTCTGAGCCACCGAGCCTGGCTAGTTTTTTGATTGATTGTAGAACTGAGGTCTCGCCAAGCTGCCCAGGCGGGTCTCGAACCCGCGGGCTCAGGCGGTCCACTCACCTCAGCCTCCCAAAGCGGTGGGTTACAGGCCGAGTTACCAAGCCCGACTCAGTTAACGTGTTCCAAACTCTCATTCAAATCAGCAGTCTCCAAACTCTGGGTTTTAAGTGTGCCCTCAATAAGTGTTCGCTTTCCAGGAATTGTCTTGACTTTCACTTTGTCAGTTCCTTTGTAAGCCTGCACAGCTAGTGCTTTCCTCGACTCCGAAGGAGGCTGACGACACTTAAGACTCTTCCTGACAGTGGGACCTTACAGGAGGTCGTATGAGCGGGGCGCAGCGGCTCACGCCTGTCATCCAGCACTTGGGAGGCTGAGGCGAGAGGCCTACCTGAGCTCATGACGAGACCTTGTCTCTGCAGTACGCCAGAGAGTCAGCCAGTCGCACATGGTGGCACGAGCCTGTGGGTCCGGCCACTTGGAAGGCTGAGGTGGAAGCATCGCCAGAGCCCAGCAGGTCGAGGCTGCGGTGGCCGGGAGCGTGTCGCTGCATGCCAGCCTGGGGAACAGACCGAGACTCCGACTCAAAAAAAGGTGGTGTGCACACCATGATAAGGCACTTTAGGCTCCTGTGGGTCGCTGTGGCCTCAGTCACCTATGCGAAACAGTCGAGATAGGGGCCTTCCGGGGCTCAGGTGGCCGCTGGTCCCACGGTGCCATCTGGTGGAGCTTGAACGTGTGCGTGAAGCAAGAGGAAGTGCATTTGTGACTGAAGCCACCGGGACTCCATGGCATCTGCCTTCACTGTTGGTAAACTGGGTCTGCGTGTCTGTGATTGCCACCACAAGCACGTGCACTTTCCTTCAGGGAAACCAGCCTCCTGAGGGCGTGTGGCCAGGCCTGAGCAGCTGAGACTAGCCGAATTAGGAAAACGCAGTTTCCGTTAGGGTTTGAAAATGCAGCCCAGTGCAAGACCTGCTAGGCCTGTCACGGCGTTCTTCAAGTAGGGATTCCGACACAGCCTCAGGCCCCAGGCTGGCTCAGAACCAGAGAGTAGCCCTTCCAGACTGCACAGTGGCTCTCGCCTCCACATACTCACTCCCAACCAGTTCCAGCTGCGTGAGCTCCAGCTCAGTTCTTCTTGGGAAGGGAGGAGGGGGAAGGGTAGGCCTGTGTTCTCAAGATAAGTTGTGGCCGGAGTCGATGTTTCACGAGAGGCTGGGCCCCTGGAAAAGGCAGACTCTCCAGCCTCGGTAGCCTTGTAGTCCTACCGTGTCTACCACAGGCTTGTAGCAGCTCAGAGGACGCCGGCCCCAGACTCCTGTTCTCCCTGCCCGTGAAGGCTTTCTGATTCTTGGACTGGACTGTTCTATTTTTTTTTTTTTTTTTTTTTGAGTTGGAGTCTCACTCTGTTGCCCAGACTGGAGTGCAGTGGCCGCGAGCGGCCACTGCAGCCTCAACCCACTGGGCTCTGGCGATCCTTCCGCCTCAGCCTTCCGAGTAGCTGGAACTACAGGCGCATGCTACCACGCCTGGCTGATTTTTTGATGGATTGTAGAGATGAGGTCTCGCCGCCCAGGCAGGTCTTGAACCCGTGGGCTCAGGCCGTCCGCTCACCTCAGCCTCCCAAAGGCGCGGGATTCCAGGCTGAGCCACCGAGCCCGGCTTGGGCCGTTCTATCTTTGTCACATTTAGGGAGAGGCTTTCACTAAATCAGCAAATTCTGCCGATGCGCGTTTAGCCTGTATTGTTTGCCGAACGCTGTGCTGGGAACTATGAGTGCTTTTGATGTTTGTCTTAATGGATAAGCCACACTCTGTGCCCTCGGAGGGTCGTAGCCTGGCGAGGAAGGGGCGAGACGAAGATGAGTCCCTCGGAAGCAGAGATTCCTGTGTGCTCTGCTGGGCTGTGCCTCGGGTTGGAACCGACAGACTTTGGGTTGGAGTGGGACCAGATGCTCTACGGGGGGAAGGGCAGCGCCGCTGGCGAGAGCCCAGGGAGGTCGGGGGAGCCTGCAGGCATCTACTGAGCGCAGGAGGAAGCTGGACAGCAAAACCGGAACGGCATGTGGACAGAAGGGGGAAGGGGCAATGGCCCGTGGCCACCCAGCGTGAGCCCAGCACTTGGGAGGCCGAGGCAGGAGGACCGCATGAGGCCTGGAGTGGGAAACCAGCCAGCCGGGGCAATATAGTGAAACCCCATCTCAGAAAAGGAACAAGAAAAATTTGGACTGAATCCTGAAGGGGAGGAACCTTTTGTGAGTTTTAAGAAGGGAAGCCCGTCATCCCAGCCCTTTGGGAGGCCTAGGCGAGTGGATTGCCTGAGCCTGCGGTTCGAGACCCACCCGGGCAACGTGGCGAGACCTCGTCTCTATGATAAATCGAAAATCAGCCGGGCGTGGTAGCGCATGCCCGTAGTTCTGACTGCTTGGAAGGCTGAGGCGGAAGGATCACCGGAGTCCAGCAGGCCGAGGCTGGGGTGGCCATGAGCGTGCCACTGCCCTCCAGGCTGGGCGACAGAGGGTGACTCCAACTCAAAAAAAAAAAACAACAACACTCTGGCAGGAGTGTGCATAGCAGACTGGATCAAGGAATTCGAGTGAGCCAGGAGGTCATTTGGAGGCCACTGGACTGGAATGGTGAGACTCGTGAGTCCAGGGCAGCAGCTTTCAGAAGAGAGCCCAGAGGCTGTACGGAGGATGCTCCGAACATCCAGACCAACTGCATGCAGGGAAAGGAAGGCTAGGGGTGCTGAAGGTGGCTCGAGTCGCAAGGTGGGCGGGGGGAGTGGGGGGCCATCGACTGCTTGGGAAGGAAGAGAGAAGGTTGCAGGCTGCATTTTAGACATAGTGAACATATTATGGACTGGCTTCACATGCGTTTCCTTGTTGTTTCTGAAATTCCAGCTTTCTCCACCTTTGGAAGATCACGTTATCCGTAATAGGCATCCAAAACCGTATCCTTCCGCTTTTCCACCACTGGAGACTGTCCAGGGAACTTTCACGTGCTGCATCTGAGTCCTGGGATTCACTCCCAAATTCAGACTTATTCCATGCTAGAGTCACCATTTTGACCATCATGGAAAGAAAACCTGGGGCCTGAATGGCTCTCATAAGGGCTTCTGGCTTTCCATGTGGCTGTGGGAAGCCACAGAGTCTGCTGAGCTCTGGGGCCACAGAGTTGTTAGGCCAGATGACTACTGAGTACTCCCTGGTGCTGACTGGGGCTCGTCCTCAAGCTCACGCTGCCATGCGCATCCTGTCTGGCTGAGGAGGCACCAAGCGTCCCGTGTGCAGGACATTGATCTGTAGTTCAGTTAGAAGGTGTGACATGCCTGGCTGTGTAAAATGATTAGTCTCAGGCCCTCTTCAAACCAACAAGGAAATCGGGCATGGCGGCTCACGCCTATCATCCCAGAACTTTGGAAGGTCAAGGCAAGAGGATTACCTGAGCCCAGAGGTTCAAGACCAGCCTGGGCAACTTGGCGAGTCCTTATCTCTACAATAAATCAAAAAATTAGCCGGGCATGGTGACCACACACCTGTAGTCCCAGCTACTTGGAAGGCTAAGGCAAAAGGATAAACTTAGCCCAGCGGGCTGATTCTGTGGTGGCCGTGAGCGTGCCACTGCATTCCAGCCTAGGTAACTCCGACTCAAAAAAAAAAAACAGCAAGGAAATGATGGCCCCTTGCCATCAAAGAGCTTACAGTCTAGGTCTCAAGAACCAAACATATATTGCATTTTAGACTGATTAGAAAACAGCATGTCAAATATACTTGATTCTTACAAACGAAGATAGAAATATTGAAGGGAAACAGATACAGAATATAAAAGGTTGGCAATGAGATTATCGAAGAAGCTGAATAATTTTGGCAAACTCTGAATTTCTTTCATTTTTTTTTAATTAACAAGTAAAAATTGTATAGATGGTCATGTGTTACTTCACGACAGGGGTATGTTCTGAGAATTGCATCCTCAGGTGATTTTTGTCATTTGCGAACGTCACAAACATGAGTGATAGAACCTACCACCATCCCGGCTGTGTGGCAAAGCCTATTGCTCCTGGGCAACAAGCCGTACTGCGTGTGGCTGTACTGAACACTGCAGGCAGTTGTGATACAGCAGTAAGCATTTGTGTATCTAAATATACCCAAACCTAGAAGAGTTTCAGTAAAAATACAGTGTTATGATTCTGCAGGACTACTGTCATCGACTCAATCCATTGTAGACCAAAATGCCACCGGGCAGCTTGTGACTGTGCTGATGGTGTACAGCATAATGTTTTGATGCAAGTTGAGTATCTCTGACCCAAACAATGTTTGGGACTAGAAGTGTTTAGGATTTTAGGTATTTTCAGATTTGGGAATGTTCGTGTCATGTTTGTCAGCTGAGCATTTCCAATCCAAAAAGCCAAAACACCCAGTGAGTGTTTCCTTTGAGCATCATGGCAGCACTCAAAAGGTTCTGGATATTGGAGCAGTTCAGATTAGGGAAGCTCTCCCTGCATGTCTGTGCATTGTGGGCTGGATGAATCAAGCCACGTAGCATGTGTGTTACTCCCCATTTTCTCTGGGTGTAGTGGGAACACTTGGAATCTACCATCTTAGCACTTTCCAAGTACACCATGCATTCTTGCTGACTGCAGTTGCCATGATGTGTAGTAGACCTTTTGAACTTACTGTCTGACTGGACTTTGTGACCAACATCTCCCCATTTCCCCTATTACCTAGCCTCTAGTGACCACCATTTTATCCTGCGTTTCTGTGAGTTCAGCTTTCCTAAATGACTCTCTGAACTTGTTTGTGGTCTGAACTCAGTGTCCTCCCGTGTGTTCATCTCCCCTCTTTCTATGGAGAGGGAAAGTGGCATGGCATTGTCATCAGTGGTTAACATGTCCCAGGCTGCTGGTTTATGCGACTCCCAAGGAGGTGACGCTCTCATAAATGGAAGACTTCCACTCAGCTCAAAAAACATTGTTTGAGGATTTGTTACATGCAAGTGGGATACACAGAAGCCAGCAAATAACAGAATAGTTGGCATACATCAAGCAGATTTAAAATGAGGTAGCAGCCAGGCTTGGTGGCTCAGCCTGTAATCCCAGCACTTTGAGAGACCAAGGCTAGTGGATTGCCTGAGCCCACGGGTTCAAGACCATCTCGGGCAACTTGGCAAGACCTCGTCTCTACAATAAATCAAAAATTAGCTGGGCGTGGTAGAAGGTGCCTGTAGTTCTGGCTACTTGGAAGACTGAGGCAGAAGGATTGCCTGAGCCCAGCAGGTCGACACTGGGGTGGCCGTGAGCATGCCACTGCACTCCAGCCTGGGGCATGGAGTGAGACTCCAACTCAAAATAAAACAAAATGAGATAGCAGTGCCCTGGAAGAAGCTTCTTGGAGGCAGACCAGAGGCAAGTCCTGGGAAGAGAGAAGTTGTCCCACAGGGAGCAGCGTGGCCACAGGGAGGGGAGCAGGGAACCCGCGGGCTGCTCCAGAGGCAGCAGCATGAGCCCAAGGCCCGTGAACATCGGGCGAGTCATCGGAGCAGAGTGCAGAGGAACCTGAATGCCCAGTCTGCTCTGGCAGCAGCTTGAGGGGTCCGTACTTTCAGTTTTACTGAGACCTCACCTATAGGCGAGGCCCAGGTTTCACAGGGAAGCAGGCCAGCCCCGCAGCGGGCAGCATGTGTGCCATCACCATGCCTCCCCTGCCGTGCGTGGCCGCACTCCTCAGCCCCATGGCGCTTGCCTTTGCAGGTGCCTCCATTGCTCTGATGGACAAGGAGGGGCTGACGGCCCTCAGCTGGGCATGCCTGAAGGGCCACCTCTCGGTCGTACGTTCTCTGGTGGACAGCGGGGCTGCCACCGACCATGCGGACAAGAACGGCCGCACCCCCCTGGATCTGGCTGCTTTCTATGGTGATGCTGAAGTGGTGAGTGCTCAAGACACGCCTTGGGGGGAGGGTCAGGGCCCGCTCGCCACCCAGAGCCCGTGTGTGGATGGTTCCTGCTTCGGAGTTCTCAAATCTGTCTTTGCTGGAGAGCAGGAATATCTGAGGTGTCGCTAGAGACCGAGCTGTAACTCAGGCCTGAGCACCCAGGCTGCCCAGCCGAGTTCAGCCCTGCGGTCAGAAAGGGCGGCAGCCACAGAGCTCGCGGCCCAGCAGTGCTGAGCTGCCGCCCATGCTGACTGCGCATCTGATCCGTGCCCTAGGTGCAGTTCCTGGTGGATCACGGGGCCATGATCGAGCACGTCGACTACAGCGGGATGCGCCCCCTGGACAGGGCGGTGGGGTGCCGGAACACCTCTGTGGTCGTCACTCTTCTCAAGAAAGGAGCCAAGATAGGTAGGCGAGGGAGAGGGCGCAGCCGTCTGTGCCCAGCGGCCAGGCTGGGCCAGCGGTCTGGCAGCCCTGGGTGTTGGTGTGAGCATACGTAGTTCCCCCCTGCCCTGGCTCGATGATTGTCCAAGGGAACAGAGAGGCTCCTGCCCAGAGAAAGCGCCACCTGACTGTGGTAGACAGCACCTGGTGTCCAGACTCACACGGCCCTCTGCTGCAGCCCCGTAGCCTTGCCAGGAGGCTGCTCTAGCCTTAGGCACATCTCAGCTCCGCCTCCGTGCCAGCCCACGCAAGCGTCCCGACCCGCACCGCCTGGGCCTCTGCTCCCTGCTCCGTGTGTGCTGTGCCTCTCAAGCCCCTGCTGCCCGTCCCCGCTGCTCCCTCCCCTCAGACTTGTAGACAGGGGTTGCTGTGCGCTGGCTTTTTGCTGCCTGCCTCTCACTGCTGCTTTCTCCTTCTTTTTTTTTTCACCTTCATCCATTTTTTTTTCCTTCTCCTACAACTTTTTGTTTTCTCCTTTCTTTGAAGGTTGTCAGACGTTACCGAGTCGCCCACGAGGTATATTTCACCGCTGTCAGCATCAGGCGTGGTCTGATGGCTTGGTCAGCTTTGCCTTCTCTTTGGTTTAGCCTGCATGAGTTCCCTACACCTCTAATCTTTTAATTTTCATCACCTTAAAAGAAGATCTTTTAAAATGACTGTTGTAGAGAATAACTTGAACTTTTAATAACTAACCCTGAAGACTTAGCTGGTAAATAATTCAGGCATCTGTAAACTAACCAGTTTAACCTTTTCTTTCTTTGGTAAAGTCTTCCTCAATGTTGGTTTGTTCCACGTCTGACATTCGAACGGGGCGCCTGATTCACTCCGAATCCCAGGGAGTCCAGCTCCTGACTTATGAACAAGGGAGCCATTCGAGTTTTCAGTGGTTTCCCTTCTGTAAAGTACATATTTCAAATTAAGAGACTAAACTTCCGGGGTTTTGAGCCCCAGAACCAAAATAAATTAGCTTTTCTGGATTAAATCCTATGGTCATGTTTAATGTGAACCCTTTTTCCCAATGTCCTTAATTTAAAATAATTCCTAACTAAGCCGTGTCTGCCCACATGCAGCGCCCAGGCTTTGCTGCCCTCCGTGATGCAGGCTTAGGCAGTTCAGATACTCTTGCTTTAAGGTGAATACAGATCCCACGCAGCTTCTGGGCCGTGGGAGTCCCTGAACTACTCCCCGCCCAGCAATGAGGCGATCGTTGTGGAGCAAGTTGTTCTCTCAGCAGAAGTTCCCCAGGCTGTTGTCCTCACCCAGCTCCTGCCTCCCTCCTGAGTTCTTTACCCATCATGCATCCTGTACACTGCAGGTCCCGCCACGTGGGCGATGGCCACCTCCAAGCCAGACATCATGATCATCCTGCTGAGCAAGCTGATGGAGGAGGGGGACGTGTTCTACAAGGTGAGGGCAGGCCGGGGCGGCCCCGGCCGTCTTCCCCCCACGGGCCTCCGGAGTCCTGGCGGTCCGCTTCCTGCGTTGGAGGGCGGCGGGAGAGCGCCGCTGCCCCAGCGGCTCTCCCGGGTCTTGCTTTGCGCCCGGAACCTCTGCCTCGGCTTCCAGCTGCTCACCAGCAGTGGCTTTGGCTGTGGCCTGCACTCCACTAAGTGGGATCCTGAAGCTCACGGGACACGCGAACATGAAGTGATGCCGCGCAGCTGCTTGCGGTCGGGCGATCTTGGCCTTCACAGTTGATACGTGCAGAAATGTTGGCATCCGTAGTAGTGATAGCTCGCCAGCACCCTTGAATCAGATAAGGAAGCCAAGACAGATAGCTATGGTGAGGCTTGTTTGAAGTCATTCACTGAACAACAAAAGCAAGGAGTCTTTGACTGGAACTCAAGACTCAAGCTGAGGGCGCCATTCCAAGCACAGATGGACTCCTGTGGCCTCAGGAAGTTCCTTCGGAACGTTCCGTGCCAAAATTATCTCCTTGTGTTGAGATTGGTTGGATTATCTTCTTCTGAAGGTGACTACAAATCCAACCCAGTTTTTGACAGCAGATACCACTGATGTGTCTGTCCCCAGGAGTAAAAGATGAGATCATGTGCCCCTAGTGTCAGGAGTGTGCAGGTTCCTGGGGGCAGAGCTCTGTCTTCCAAGTACCTTTCGAGTGAGAGTCCTAGGAATCTAGGATCCTCAGGCTTTCAGGAAGCCCGTGCCCTGGCCCAACCCTGATGTCACGTGACCAAAAGAGGTCCACATTACTCTGGGTGTCACATTTATGGACTTCAGGATGACACTGCTCTCAGCAATCTAAGCCCTGGTTATGGTATAACTTCTGGTATTCCAAGCAAGGAGTCCTGTCTCCTTGTGAAAAGAGGCAGAGCTGTTCTGGTTCCTCAGAATTCTGCCTGGGAAGACTTCAGATCTCTCCCTAGTGAAAGATGCTGAGGGAAAAAGAAGAGATGGGGAGCCCTGTGGCGCTGCAGCTGTACGTGAAGGAGTTGAGCGCATGAGGGTCAGCTAAAGGAGTGGGAGATGCCTCCCACATCCTTCTGGGCTCAGCTCACAGGTTTTCAGATACACGACGTAAGAGAAATTCCAAGCCGGCCGGGCTCGGTGGCTCAGCCTGTAATCCCGCGCTTTGGGAGGCCGAGGCAAGTGGATTGCCTGAGCCTGTGGGTTTGAGACCAGCTGGGCAACTTGGCGAGACCTCATCTCTGTAATAAATCAAAAATTAGCCGGGCATGGTAGCACACACCTGTAGTTCCAGCTACTTGGAAGGTTGAGGCAGAATTATCACCGGAGCCCAGCAGGTCGATGCTGGGCTGGCCGTGACTGTGCCACTGCACTCCAGCCTGGGCGGCAGAGTGAGACTCCATCTCAAAAAAAAAAAAAGGAAAAAAGTTGCAGGCCACTGCGGCCAGATCCCTACTTTGGATTCACTTTACTTTGGAAAATCCTTTTTATAGAGTCTGATGGAATCACAGATTCTAAGCTTCACTTCTCTGTTCCCATCCCACCCAGGCTCTTCCAAAAGCAGGGACCACTGGTTAGCACTGCTTCATGCCGCGAGACTAGGGAAGCAGTAGCTAGCCTAATTTCGTCACCATGTGAGGCAGAGAACACCTTCTAGAGGGCTGGCAAATGGAGCCTCAGGCAAGCCAGAAATGAAGGAAGAGCTCCCAACTTTGCGGGGCTTGGGACTTGGAAGTTATGTGTGTGCCAGGGAGATCGGCTCCAGAAAAATGAACTTTGACACGAGCAAGGCAATCCCCTTGGAATGCCCATGAGGAGCGAGGCTCCAGGGCCTTCCCTCACTGGGGCTGGGCTCCCCGGCTTGCATCTTGGCCTCCCCTCACCATGCCTCTCCCACCAGGCAAGCTTACTTTAGAAAAGGCTAGACTCTGCTGCGCTCCCCTAGGCTGGAGTTCGGGAGGGCGACCCTCAGTAGCAAGCACTGCACGGAGGAAGGGCGGAGGGGCCAGGCGCCCAGCCACTCAGCCGACCAATGGGTGTTCCGCCATCTTGTGCTCTCCTAGAAAGGCAAAGTCAAGGAGGCTGCCCAGCGTTACCAGTATGCCCTGAAGAAGTTCCCGAGGGAAGGCTTTGGCGAGGACTTGAAAACCTTCCGGGAGCTGAAGGTGTCTCTCCTCCTCAACCTGTCTCGATGCCGCAGGAAGATGAACGTAAGTCCCTCCCACGCAGTGCTACCAGTGTGCTGCCGTCCTGGGGGCTAGTGGCCCATGGCATTCTCTGCTGTGGCCAGGCCCTGGAATCCTCCTCTGCCCCACCTGGAATTCGGCTGTCCTTCGCAGAGCACTGACATTTGCAAGATGGAAGGAAGCAAGTCTCAGTACAATCTGTCTCTCAGGCTGTAACAGAGTTGGTGCTGTGAGCCCTTGAGAGCTTTCTGAATTTCCCAGTTCCCACTGAGAGCAAGGAGAGCACCATCTCCCCATGCCTCCAAGCCCGCTTTCTGGTTTGGGGGAATCAGTGAGCAAAGCGGTCTCCAGAATGTCAGCTGCAGTTAAATACAGTCTCTAGTCACTCCCTGCCTCTCTGGTGTTTCCCAGCTCGTTTGAGGAGGGACTGAAAACCATGGACTTCAAGGTTCAATTCCCAAGACTCTTCTTGAACTTTTCACTTCTTTTCTCATCCTTTTGTTCCAGCGGACCATATCGCTTCCTGTCCTGGAAGGAAACTTAGAACTCTCCCTGGCCCTCTGTTATCCCCTCATAGTCCTAAGTCCTTCCTGCCTGCCTCGCAGATACAGTCTCAGCTGGTGCTCTCAGCCCTCAGCTGGTGCTCCCTCAGTCTGTGCTCTCTCACCTGGTGCTCTCTCAGGCCATCGGAATCGCTTAAGATCATGTCAGGAATCTGACGCCCACCAGCTGGAGGTCCCACAGTTCCTTCAGAGATAGAATCCAAGACAGGGATGAGACCAATACAGGCCTCAGCTGCACAGAAGCAGGGTTTACGTTCCAGTGGCAAAGGGTCTTCCAGAAAGATGATTTGTGTGTGTGAAACCCTTCCAGGCTCCACAGCCCAACAGGGAAAGGAGCCCTGAGGTTCACTGGGCATCTCAGAGGACCCGGGGAATGGACGCCCGGAAGAGGTTCATTGGGGAGGGAGGAGGGTCGGTCTGGGGACAAGCAGCAAGGTTCTCAGCCTGTGGTTTCTCCTGGAAAACAGGAGACAGCACCGAGGTCTCCCAGGGCACCAGCCAGTGCGGGTGAGAGATGGTGCTCAGAAGTTGCTGCCAGTCTGCAGACCTGCTTTCCCCAACAAATAATCTACGTCTTAACGTTCTCTAATACTTCCAGAACTCATGATGGTCCCAAAGGAAAAGGCAAAAGGTTAAGGTTGGAAACAGAGTAGGGAAGGAGAAAAGCCACATAAGAAGTCCCTCCAGCCCCACATTTGTCCAGAAGCAGTTAGTGGCCACCTCCCTTGGACTAGCACTGGACCAAGCCCCAGATGGCGCCTGTCTTCTTCAGTAGAAAATTTCCCGTTCACTGTTATGAACTTATGCCCCAGGGCCTTTGTTCTGCCCAAGGTTTTATCGTCTACTTATGCGTCATGAGAGTAACAGAGGCCACCGTGCTGCACCACAGCTTTGGCCTTAAAAGAAGGGAAAGCCGTCCTGGCTAGCTTAGCGTTTGAGGAGGCATTCAACACCACAGACTCGGCATGAGGACAGACTGTGCAGAACCCATGTTCCTCCAGTGACAGCACAGGCCCAGCCACAGCCAGGATCCTCCCACTTTACTGTGTTTCATCATCGTTTCCTAAATAAGCCACCAGCTTGCGAGACGGAACAGGCCAGAGAAGCCTCTGTGAGACAGAGAGGAATCTCAGTCCATTGAGCATCTCCAGCATACCAGGAGCTGTGTGGTGCTCTCCAGTGCTCTGTCTTGCCGAATCTTGTGTCTGGAACACGTGGGGATGAGAACAGGCAGGCACGCTCAGAGGGGGAGCAGGCCATGCAGTCAAGCCTGAGTCTCCAGCCAGGGTGGCATTTGCTCACTCTGATGCCATCCCCTGTGTCAGGACGCATGTCTGTACATTCCTTGAGAGAGCCAAGGTCTTGTGGGTGCAGCCAGAGGACACAGGAGAGGGACATGGGCCACCAGCAGGGGTCGGTGCATGTGTGTTGACCCCCGACATGCGTGGGTCTCAGCAGTTGTTCATGCTTTCCACTTCAGAAACCTCCCTGTGGAGAGGTGGCTTTTGGCTTCTGGGCTGGAGAGAACATTATTAGAAAGGCAGAGAGAGGGACTCTCAAAGGATGTTTACACTCCGGGAGGCAGAGGCCTGTAAGTGGTCACAAGGGCCTCCCGGGCAAAGGCAGAGGGAACTTGCGGACTGTGAGCTGCATACGTGGAAGCGTGTCAGGCACGTGCAGAACCCAGGCATCCCCCGCAAACGTCAAAACAGATGGACAGATGGTTTGTTTTATTCCCAAGTGGTCTGTTTCTCATATCTCTTCCGTGACTCATTTGCGCACCTATTATAATGACAGGATTTTGGAATGGCGGAGGAATTTGCTACTAAGGCCCTGGAGCTGAAACCGAAATCTTACGAAGCTTACTATGCGAGAGCAAGGGCAAAGCGCAGCAGCAGGTGAGGAGAAAGAGACCCCCTCTGAAACTGCTACTGAGGCAGCGTGGGCAGCCAGTCCCGTGCTCATGGGTGTCTGTCCCTGAGGACACATGGGCAGAGCTTTGGGGACGCCCCGATAACACGGTCCTCGGCTAAGGTTCAGCAGATCTTCTGGGCTATCGAGGCCAAGAATGCTTTACTTTGGGAGAAAGAGTATTTTTTGTTGGAGAATGGCACCTTCTTCCAAGAAGCCTCTGCAGTCTCTCAGTTGCGCTCAGCCCCCAAAGCAGGTGGCATAGGAGACAGTGATGACTTTTGTAGACCCCTCCCAGCCCGCAGCGCCCTCAGAGGGAGGAGTGGGCTGGGCCACCTGGCATCCCAGGGCCTCTTTCTGTAGGGTTTGGGGCATCCCTGGTTCCGGGGCCTTCCTCAGTCCAGCGGCAGCAGGCCGCCACCTCACTCAAGCCATCACCCCACAGCCCACACCCACGGAGTCAGGGGGTCCTTGCTGCCGGGCTGAGAGGCCCAGGAGAGGTGCTGCCCGCCCCCTCCCGCCTGCTTGCTGTCAGTGGCCACTGGGCAGGAAGGCTTCCAGCAGGACCTAAGTCCTGCCCTGGTGACTTTGTGCCTTGTCACTGTTCTCACTGACTCCTGCCAAGCCCCCTGTCCCCCACCCCACTCCCATCTCCCGGGCTGCGTGGAAAAGAGTGGCTGGGGGTTCACTGCTATGACCTGCAGACCACACCCAGGCTGAGGCTGTGACAGTGGTAGCAGTAATCTTGTTCCTAACCCACTGAAGCTCAGCTGCCAGATTCTCTTTCCCTCCAGGCGTCCACAAGGCCAGTTGCCCCTTTTCGGGCAATATTACTAGGGAAGACAGGAACGTCTCTGACGGTTCATCTCGTCTCTCACAAGTTAGAGTCTCCCGGGGATCCACTCAGCCCCAGCCCTGAGGTGCCCAGTTAGCAAGCCTGATGCCTGCCATGCTGTGATAGCACAAATGGAGTCGTAGCAGTCCTGTGGGGTGAGGGTAGACAAGGTGGGGGACAAGACTCTTGCCTCACACAGAGCAGTCCTGAATTTGGAGCCAAAATATTGAGAACGACAAGAAAAACGTGTTCTGAGTCAGCAAGATCTTTGAATACTGCAGTTACTGTTCTGTTCCTAAGCTCCTTGACAGTGACCCTGTGAATGACAACCCCACCCAGCCCTTGTGCCACCTGGTGGGCATTTGAGCACTAGGAGAACTTCCTGAAGGGCCCGGCTGCACTGATGTGGGCTCTTCTCCCCAGTTCCCAGGGAGGCCCGAAGGGGGACGGAGGCTGAACAGGCTAGGGAGTCATTCTGGACTTTTCTCGAATGACAGCCTACCTGTTTGCTTCCGCACAAATCACACCACACCCAACACCCAGACCCCCAGATGCCACCCTTTCTCTGAAATCGTGGCAGTGCACTCAGCCCGGGTGATACCCACAGGTTCAGAATAACTCGGGCTCCTTGTTCACGCTCTGTCAAGCAGGCAGTTTGCCGCAGCTCTGGAGGACCTGAACGAGGCCAGCAAGCTCTGCCCGAACAACCGCGAGATCCAGAGGCTGCTGCTGAGAGTGGAAGAGGAGTGCAGGCAGACGCAGCCGCCACCACCGCAGCTGCCGGAGGAAGCGGAGCTGGCGCCGCAGCAGGAGGACGCGTACTCGGTGCAGGACATGCTCGAGGAGGCGTTTCTGGAGCAGGACATGGAGAACATGTCCGTCGGCCTCCAGACGGAGGCCCGGCCCGGCCAGGGGCTGCCTGCGCTCCCGAGCCCGCCGCCCTCCCCGGCCCCCCG